AGGGCAATATGTCCAAACCCTTGACATTCATAACACTTGACCCCTTGTCCCTTTACCATCTTTTTTTCAGTTTTTGGAGCAAGTTTTGGTGGAAAAGTTTTGGGTTTATCATTACTCTTGTCTTTTGAAATAGGGTCTTTGAAATAAGGCTTTTTTTTCTTTAAATTTTTTTTGAACTGTTTAGTAAACATAGCCGCCATCTTGGACTCTAGATCAAACTTAGTCTCAGGAGTTTTTGCAGTCTCATGAGCACTAGTGAAAGCCACACTATCTTTTTGTTTTTTCTTAGAAATCTGGTGGGCTTCATAAGTCTGCAAGTTTCCAATTAACTGATCAAGCTTGAGGGTATCAACATTTTGAGCCTCCTCAATAGCTATCACTTTTGATTGGAACCTCTCGGGTAAAGGCCTCAAAATTTTTCCAACAACCTTAGCTTCAGGGATTTTTTCCCCGAGTGTGAAACAGGAATTCACGATGTCACTAAGTTTAGCATAGAAATCATCAAACGTCTCATCATCAAGCATAAAAAGGGTTTCAAAGGCAGAGGTGAGATGTTGAAGTTTTAACCTTTTAACAAAAGTAGTACCCTCGTGAATCGTTTCAAGAATGTCCCAAGCCTCTTTTGCTACCTCACACATGCAAATACGACGAAACTCTTCAGGTGTGACAGAGCAAAAAAGGGAATTGAGAGCCTTACTGTTCCAACTCGAGTTTTGATAATCGAATACATCCCATTTATCAAGGGGTTTGGGAATATCAACACCATCAATTGTGACAATAGGTTTACTCCATCCATAGATCACACAGTGTCAAACTTTCTCATCGATAGATTTTAAAAATACTCTCATACGAGCTGTTCAATAAGAATAGTTTGTACCGTCAAGTAACGAAGGTCCATGGGTCGAGTTACCTTCATGAGAATCCATATCACCAATCACACAAAATCACACTCCTACAATTTTGATAAAAACAAAGACTGACCCGCTCTAATACCAATTGAAAAACCTAAGTGATTCGTGATTAGATCAAGATTTAATTATTCCAATTCCCAATCAAATAAAACTCACAATCTAAATCACCAAGCACTTACGAAAGTGATTTAGATTGTTGTTTTCGAAAAAAAATAAATCGACACAAATGATTTTTACGTGAAAAAACCACAATTGAAGTACCTTCAATTGTGATAAAAAAAAATCACAGGCAAAATGCCACTAATCAATCCACTATTGAAGAAAGAAAGATTACAAAAATAACAAACAAATTACCCAAACGCTTCTAATTTGTCTTCAAATCTTCTGTATATCTTTCACCGCAACCTTCGTCTCGGAATTGATTATATTGAAGTTGAATCCACAACTTCTATTGTCGAATCAACGACCACGCACAGTATCAAACTCCTTTAACACTCCACGCTTGAATCTCTGGATTCCACCGAAGAAGAACACTCTTGAATATGAACAATCAACCTCCTTGATGTGTGCTTATTAAAACATGAGTTTAATACTCAATCAAATCATCAAGGAAAACTAGTAAACAACCTCAAAAGAAAACCCTAAAAACCTTAAAGTGGATCTCTAAAACGTAATCGTAGATTAGGGCTGAAACAAGTATTTATAGAAAACAGAGACTGCGAAGATCGCTCGAGCGAAGACTCTCTCGCTCAAGCAAGGAACCAAAAATGCGTGTTCGCCTCAAGTGTCGTCGCTCGAGCCAAGCTTCTTTCGCTCGAGCATACAATTTTCCTTCTCTGGTTTTAGGCATACAGACGCAGCTTCTGAAAAGAAGACTCCTTCGCTCGAGCGAGAACTCCTTCGCTTGAGCAAACAAGACAAAACAACTAGGAAATTTATAACTCGATAACATAAGTTTGTTCGCGGGATTGACAAGACTAAGGGACCTAACAACTTCCACCACAGAACTCCAACAATGGAGGCGCTGCAACAATCTTGTAAAGGCATGGCTTTTCAATTCAATCTCAGAGGACATTAAAGCAAGCGTAATATACAATGTGAGTGCTCATGAAATCTAGTCTGATTTGAAAGAACGTTTTTCATGAGCACTCTCATTGTATATTACGCTTGCTTTAATGTCCTCCGAGATTGAATTGAAAAGCCACGCCTTTACAAGATTGTTACATCTGAAACCGAACCATCCTCTTTTGCACAAGCAGTTCGTGATTCTAAATGGCATCTTGATATGTAACAAGAGCTTGTTGCTCTCTAATCTAATGTCACGTGGTCTCTTCAAGCCCTCCCTCTTGGGAAGAAACCGATTGGATGCAAATGGGTATACAAGATCAAATTCAAATTTGATGGCACTATCAAACGTTACAAAGCCCAATTGGTAGCAAAAGGATACCACCAAATTGAAGGATTCGATTACCATGAGCTTTTTCTCCAGTTGCAAAGCTTGTGACCTTCTGTCTCCTTTTCATTGTGGCATCAACCCAACATTGGCACCTTCACCAACTCGATGTCAATAATGCCTTCTCACATGGCGATCTTGATGAATATATCTACATGTCTTTACCTCCTGGTTTCAGACGAAAGGTGGAGACATGAGTTTGCAAACTCCACAAATCATTATACGGTCTCAAACAAGCTTCCCGTCAATGGTTTATCAAACTCTTAACTGCTCTCAAACAAGCTAACTACAAACAATCAAAGGCTGATTATTTCTTGTTTGTCTGATCCCAAGATGTTAAATTTACTACTCTCTTCATTTATGTAGATGATGTCATTATAGCAAGAAACAATCTACAAGACATTGAAGACACTAAGTCGTTTATAAAGGATCAATTTAAATTGAAAGGTCTTGGACAATTAAAATATTTCCTAAGCATAGAAATTGCTCGATCCAACAAAGGCATTGCTCTTTCATAACGGAAATATGCTCTCGAAATTCTTGAAGACGTTGGATATCTTGGTGCGAAACCAACTTCTTTTCCCATGGAATAGAATTTATCTCTCAGTAATTTTGATGGTGACTACATTAGTGACCTTTCCTCATATCGAAGACTTGTTAGGTGGCTGATTTATTTGACTATCACTCGACCCGACTTGGCAAATGCAGTCCATGTTCTAAGTCACACTACTAAAAAACACACTTTTTGCGACCGCCACAAGCCGTCGCAAATAATAAAAATACAGTCGCAAAAGACTTTTTGCGACGGCCTATGCGACCGCAGATGGGGGACGCAAATGTGAGGTGGCAAATACTTTTTGCGACGGCAAAACAACGGTCGCAAATTATTTGCGACCACCTAAACTATTTTTTGCGACAACTATGTTGCCGTCGCAAAAAAAATAAAAAAATAAAAAATACTTTTAGCGACCATTGTTTTACTGTCGCAAATAATTATTTCTTAAAAACAAAATCATATACGGGTTTGCTACAACAAAAAAATCAATTACAAGCACCAAACAATTTTTTGTTAATGAAAAATAACAAAAATAACAAATTAATTAAATTTATAATAAACATTATCCATTAACCATCCTTAAATACACTGTACTAAAAAATTCAAGTCTTGGATTAGGAGTCAACAAGTTTTTGAAAGTTTTGTCTAAGGTTAACTGAGTCTTAAGTGGGATCGGTGTGATCCCTCCAATCTTCCTAGAAACTTTCTTGAACATGTTTGATTCCAGGGTAAGTGGTGAGATTAGTTTTGAATTAAATTTTAGACTTTGGGATTTTCTAGTGTTAAGTTTAGTTTATGAAAAAATAGAATAGTGAAATTCTATTGTTATTTTTCAGAAATGGCTTCAATAAGTGACAACAGAAAATGTTGTTCCACCTGACAACCTTAAACCTTACGAGGTTCTTAAAGGAAGATCTAAGGAGATCAAGTCTGATTAAAGGAAATCATAAGATTGCATGATAATATCTCTGAATTAATCAAAGGCAGTTAATATGTTATCCTTATGTCAATTATAGCATGTATGATTGCTATGTGACTTTGCTTAACGTGAGTAATTTGATTGTCAGGTGG